TTTAAAAAGAGTCGCAAGTGAGAGAAGATTGGCATTGTTGAGTTATAAAAAAATTTATGATAAATTCTAATTACGTTGTCATCATTGGAAAACAAGCCCCAAACTCAAGTAAATCCAGTGTGAGGTGTGTATAACTAAGTGCACACAAATGCAGAGTGTTTAGAACCCACAGATAGAACTTACTCAAATGAGAAGAGCTTCTAGGACTTTGGCAAGAAAAAGGCCAAAGGTGGGGAACAAAAGCTTCAGGGCACAAACTTAGTTCTTCCCTCACTCCCTCAGGTATGCGCCAAGAACAGATGTTTGCTTTGAAAGACTCTAGAACTGGTCAACAGAACAGGAAATCATTTGGCCCAACAGTCATTCATGTATAAGAATGTTTCTAGATAGAATGTGGGATGCCACTGAGTAAAACTAGGGGAGAAATTCATTTTATTAACAGCGCCTTGCGCCACTATTAGAGAACTCTCTCTTTGCCTCTAAATGAGGTGCTAGTTGAGACAGATGGTCAGTCAGACTTTTAGCCAGTGCTTCTTAACACCCTCCACCCTGAACAGCAGGGGCAGGCTTGGCCGGTGTGGCACTGAAGGCCCCCACATGAAGGATTTACTTGAAATCCACCTCAATTCTTGTGTATGCTGCAGTATATACACCATGTATTCATATTCATGTTCACATTTTTCACATAAAACTGACCATCCAGGAGGCTGAGTGATGTTTATCTTCACGACCCCAGATGGAGAGCTACGAATTCAGACTATCATGAAAAGACTGTACCTTTCATTAAGGAGATGTTGTATTTGTCAACAGAAGGTGTTCAGAGTATTTTCTTGGCTGGGACTGTTAAATCCTTCGATCAGGTTTTTGTTACAGTCATCCAGGCTGAGATTTTCACTGGATCTCTTGGGGAACATGGGGGGGCCGGTGAAATCTAAGAGATCTTGAAGAGCTCGGGCATTACCAGTTCCATTTTGGTCCAGAGACACCCCAGGAATCATTTCACTCACTGGTGAAAATTCTGGGATGGAGATAAGCTCTTCTTTTGAAACAGGACTGGGGGGTGGGGCGGGGGTGGAGGAGGGCAGAGAGAGGAAGGGAGAGGGAAAAGAAGAGAGAGACAGATAGACAGATAGAACTATTAATTCTAACATTTTGTTATACTCTTCTTTTCTAGAGAAGATGGATTTAGAGCCAGAGCTTGTATGAAACACATTGTAAAAAAAAATACAAGTTAGTTCAATTCTGAGATGCTGACGGACACAAGGACCCAGGGATGAGAACAAGGAAAGTGGACTGAGCAAGGCTGTGTAGGCCAAGCTCACACTGTCCACAGAAGAAAGAAAATAAGAACCGCAGGCGTCAGCACTCTACTGCAGAGAAGCCAAGCACTTCTGAAAGCTTCAGAATGGGAAACCCAGACAGAACGCAAATGCTAGAAGTTAAAAGTGAGCTGAGGAAGGGCCCTAATTAGCATCGGGGCTCCAGGAGCTCCCCGCACCAGCAGGGCCACCTTGGGTGAGCTGCTGTTCCTTCCCTGGCCTCAGGTTCCTCCGCTGTAAAATGGGCGAGCAGTCATTTCTTACCAGGGCTCATGCCAGCGTGATGTGCTCATGGTGGGAGGGAGCCACCGGGAGCAGGTGCTCAGTTAAGGATGGGGCCATAGTTAACAAGGACCTCGCGGTCCACCCAGTCACCTGCAGAGCGAGTCTCTCCCACTGCTCCACCTTTAAAGTGAGGCTTCTATTCCACCCCGACTTATCTGGCTTCTGCCTCTCATCTCTCTACAAACGAAAGCAGTTTCACGGCCTGTCAACCACAAGCCTAGCTCAGATGAGTGGTGGGCTGCAATTTGAGGGCCTGTCACCTGCAGTCTCTCTGAATAGCCAGAGTAAGGCCACTGCCAGGTTTGTCTATTATTTTGTTCCTTAATAAGATCTTAGAGAAGAATCCAGAAAAACTTGTTGAACTGCAGAAGCACAGAGGACCCGTCTCCCTCATACTGAGCACCAGCCAATCTAACACTACTGATGGCTGGAGCCTGAGCAAACCGCCTCATTAGCCGAAATACCCGCCCCACCTCCACCTCGCCCCACCCTCCATTCCCTGGGTTGAAACAGCTGGTCAGAGCTTAGGGAGGAGAGAATGCCACGGGTTGGGGTGCCGCCTCCAGGCATCCTCTTTCCAAGTGCAGAGGCGGCCACAGGGAGAACGCAGTGCACACACAAAGCCCCTTCACTTTCTTGAACCTTGGCAGGGGCATGTCTTGTCCCCTTCCCCCACCCAAAGATATAAAGAATAAGCACAGTTGGCTCAGAACAGAGGTGGGAGGAAAAACATTGTGTTAACCTTTAAGATGCCTCAGCTGTTTTCACCTGGGGACAGAATGACTCCGGTTAGGGGAAACCTGCCATGATGGTGGCCTGCAGTGGCAGGGGAGACGAGGCAAGGGCTGAGGAGGCCCTGCTGTCAGTCTGCACAGGACTTGCTGCACCCTGGGTTTTCACATGTCTGGCTCAATGCCAGGGTGCACCAGCTGGCACAATCACTGCGTCCTGGGAAAGACGCCCCCCACCCGTGCCCTGTTCCCCAGACGAAGCTGAGAATTCATGACCATGGAGAGCAGGGGAAGCCCTTGCCAGCTGGAGCTCTGGTAGAGCTTGTGCACGACACTGTCGTTCCCTCCTGACTCAGAGGGCCACCACCCCCCATTCCAATGGCGCTGCACAGGGCTCCGGGTTCCAGCGCCCTGCCCCAATCCCAGGCGAACTGAGTTCTCGTTTCATCTGGGATTAATTTGCCAGGGGTTGTCATCCACAAACATACAAGTTTAAGAATTTCTTAAGTTTTTAGAACTTCAAAGTAAATTAGTTCCTTTAACAAGTCTCCAATGACAAGTTTACTTGAACATGAGACACTGGACACAGTAGGCCTTGTTGGTGCCCCACCCAGATCCCCTGTACCTGTGGCTGCACCCATCCCCCAGCAGCTAAGGACTCTGAGCTGCCACCCTTTTTCTGGACAAGTGCCTCAGGCTGACAGGATCCCCATGCCCACACAGACAGTATACCTGCATCCCCTCACCCTGAGGGGCCCACAGCCAATGACTGACAGATATGGTGGCACAAAGACCACCTCCCTTACATCATCCAGACCACTCTAGTGGAAATGCATCCTCCAGAGCTCCTGTGAGACCAGCTGAGACAGCATCATTGCCCAGTGACTTTCCCTGCTCCTTCCTGCTCACCCGTCCCTCCACTTTTTCCTGAGAAACCTCTCCAATAAATCGCAGGCCCTAGACCCCCTGCCGCAGGCTCTGCTTCAAAGGAGCCTGACTCAAGACACTAATGTACCCCTGAGGGCTTTCCTGAATGGCAACTGAACCTCCCCGAGGGGATCTGGGTGTGTAAAAGATGAAGGGATCAACTACGAGGCAGTGGAGGTGTTGCTGGAAGAGATGAGGCTCAAATGTAAAAGAAATTGACTTACCTCACTTCCATAGACTGAACTTCTTCGGTTGAGTCATCCAGACTGTTTGATTTCCCATCAAGGGCGTCCAGATGAACAAGTCCCCCAGCTGGTTTAAGCCCATTGGAGAAAATGTCTTGGGGGACAGTTTCTGGGGCAGCACACTCCACACCGTTAACCTCCTGGCAGGTGCTCAATCCATTGATTTCTGATTGAGAACACAAGGTCATTTTGTTAATCGTAAAATATCCAAAACAATGGAACAACGGAGGAAATATCTATCGACATCCACCAATAATGCAACACCTTTGACAAAAAGAACCTCAGGTGATCACCTTCACACAGGGGAAGAGAAGACAAATGGTATTACCAGTGTCTGTGCAGGGCTCATGACCCACCCAGGAGGCTTGGTGTCATACCCTGTACAGGTCCCCGGGCTCCGGTAGCAGGTTCTTTACCCACAAGGCAACGGAGAAATGCGAAGAGTGACTCTGAGCTAGATACACCTTTCGTGACTTTGGCAGCCGTAAAATATTCAAACCCAAGGAGTCTTCGGTGTATGTGCTAGAAAAGAGCCGGACTATCCCAAAGTGTAGAAGGCAGGAGAACGCCACAGAACAGCAATCAGTCCTTAGGAACCTGCCGAGCGGTTAAGCTCCCTGGACAGCAGCACGGGCCAGCAGACAGCCCGCTCCTGTGCTGGCTTTATTAGAGTAACCGAGGGACCCAGTGGCTTCCAAATGAGTTGGACAGATCCGCTCTGGAGATGGAGGCTCCACCAGGGAAACTGCACTCTTAAGGCCCACGGGCGCTTGTCCCCTGCAGGAAGCGCTTCGGGCCCTCATGTGCTGAAAAGAGGAACCCAAGAATCAGACGCCACACGCACCTATTTTGTCCGGGACAGCTGGTTTTGTCTTATTTTCCACGCACACAGCAGGCTGAAGCTCCACTGTCAGGTCTTCCTTCTACAAACAAGAGAAGAAAGGCTTACTTTACATAGAGAGACGAATGCTTTGGAAAAGCATCAGAGGAGATTTGGAATCAGGCTGGGCCATCTGCCTGCTCCGTGATGATTCTTTGAGTCTTCTGTGCTTATTACAAATTAATTGATAGGTTACCATTCTCTTTTTTATTCATGGGCTACTATATCTCCCCTGCATCCCCATCCCCATTTCTCTGAGGAAATTTTTAAGTACCACTCCGTCTCTGAAACTCCTCTCTCTTCAGGCACCTACAGCCTCCTTAATCTAGCCAGGAGCAAAGCAGGAAGAGTCCATTTTCTCTGGCTAATCCTCTCTAACACCTACAATTCCACTGAATACATCTGCCATTCTTTTCTACTCAGCACAGGAACTATTAAAATGGTCCTCTGAATGCCTACCTTCACTTCTGGAGACACGTCACTCTTCCTTGTTCTCTTCATGATTTCATCTATTCTCTGAAAAAACAACAAAAAAAAGCTGGGTCTATATGCAATTTCACATTTCTCAGAAAGTTCAAAATGTTTTCCATTACTTTTGCAGATGTTCACCTGTGCCCTACGAACAAGGTCAAGTACTTGAGAAGTGAACTAGAAAGTATCTCAAATCCACATTCAATTTATACTCCATCTTTCTCCTTCCTCTCCTAAGGTTATCTAAAAATCAATAAATCACCACCTACCATTCAAAAGGACCACCCTAGAGAAAGAGAGGCTGGGGTACAAGTCAGGAGGGGAAGCCACAGATTGCTCTCCCAGCTGCCAGGCCTACAGCAACACGAAGTCCAGGCTGGAGCTAGGATGCCATGGGAATGGACGTTTATAATAAACCTCTTTAAACGCAACTTTATTCATAACTGCGTTAAATGTGAATGGACTAAAAATTCCAATTTAAAGACAAAGACTATCGAGCTGGATTAAAATAACAAGTCCTGACAATATGCTGCTTACAAGATCCACACTTATAAGGATACACATAGGTTCAACGTAAAAGGATAGAAAAAGATTTACTAGGCAGATGCTAATCATAAAAAAGGCTGCCAAAGAGGACTTTAAGGCAAGTATTACTAGAGATAAAGAAGGACATTTCGTAATGATAAAGGTGTCAATTCAAAAAGACAATTTAATAGCTTGAAATATATATTCACCTAATAGCAGAGCTTCGAAACATAAAACAAAAGTTGATAGAACTAGAAAGAGAGATGGACAAATCCATAATCACAGATGGAGCTTTTAACACTCCTCTCTCAGTAACCGATAGAGCAAGATGGCAAAAGTAATTCAGATATAGAAGATTTTACCAGCATTATCAACGAACTTGACCTAATTTGACATTTCTAAGGTCACTCTACCCAACAACTACAAAAAAGAACTGGATTTACTTCCTGTTCTGCCTCACCCTAAATTCTCCTTACGCCTTGGCCCTTACCTTCTTCCTCTCCAGTCGCTCCTGCTCAATCTGCAGCATGATCTGTTCTCTTTCCAGACGCATCTGTTTAGCTGCTTCCTGGGCCTTTGCTTCTGCTGCTTCCTTCTGATAGAAACAGGTAAACCAAGGCATAGGCTTTACTAAGCGAAGAAAACACTGTACCAATGCCCTGGGATTTGTATATGTTCCTCCACCGCACCATCTACTCCAAAGCGGGTACTGCTCCAACATTCAGTGTGGATTTACACAGCCGGCTCCATGACACGACATGGCTGGGCCTCACTCATATACCCTGGGTCCACCGTGCAGATCACCTGCGGACAGTTCCCGTGCATGGCCAAGGTCTTTCTGTGTCTGAGGGCGGTCTCTGGCCATGAAGTGTGCATGTGGCAGGAGTTTCAGGAAGTTAATTCCCCAAGGATTGACCTTCAATCATGAGAGGCAGAAGTTGGTAGATAAACAACTGTTTCCTCATCCCTCAGGGAGACAATTCTGAGGACTGTTCTACAGTCTCTTAGTCCCAAAGGGAGGGAGTTCCCGCTGTCCACAGGAACTCACTCATCAATGCACTTACTCCCCTGCCAGCTTCCTGGGATCTTCTCCCAAATAAACTACTGGAGCACGAATTCTCATCCGCGACTTGCCTTTGGGGAACCCGAACTGGCATACAGCAAACATCACCGACTTCGCTTTTATTTCCCAAAGTAACTCGTATTTGCAAACCAGCCCAGTTAGTTTAAGAAAACACTTCAAGTACATATAACGAGTCATTCAAATTTAACTAATTTTACGTAATATAAACTAGGGCCCTTAAGGAAACTCTCTATGAAGACTCATACAGTACCTGCTTTTCAATTACGGCTTTTTCTTGCTTTTCTTTTTCTTGTTTTTCCTTTTCTTCCTCTTCTTTCAACATCAGCTCCTCCTTGGCCTTCCTCTTGGCCTCTTCTTCCTCCCGTCTTTTCTCTTCCTCTTCCTGCCGCTTCTTTTCCTCTTCCCGCTTACGGGCTTCTTCTTCTAGGCGAAGTCTTTCCTCCTCTGCCTTTCTTTTCAATTCCTCTTTCTCCAGCCTTTTGACAACATAACTGTTGTTAGAAGACAATGACACGCTCAAAAGACAAATTGCCAAAGAGCCAGGTGCTGACAGACAGTGGAGCAGAATGAGCAGCACAGTCATAGGCACGTGTAGTTGAATTAGTATCCACTTAAGAAAATGACTCATCCTTCCTGGAAAGCCACTCCAGTCCATATAACAACAAAAAAATATTAACCAGGGTCGACTTTAAATTCTGTTATACAAAGAGCAATGATGTATTGATTTGTGAACATACCGTAATAAAGACAAAGATGTTCCCTAGTCAATCTACAAATGACCATAGCCCCATCATTCTTATTTAATGATTTTTTAAAAACTAAAGAAAATAAATATTTAAAACCAACTTAAGCTAGAAAAAACTAAGTGTCTCAATGGCCACAACCGTGCTAGTCAGCAATTTAAGAGCAGTGACTAAGAGCTCGAACAGTTCACTTTGGGTTCTGACTGGTATATGACTTCTGAAGCAGGAAATGGAAGAAAATCCTGAAAAGAAACTTGACATTTAAGACAGAAATTAAAAGATCTATTTCCATTTATTTTGGCAATCTTTAAAAATCTATTTTAGCTTTTATTCTTTGCTATATAAAAATTGAATGACATTTAGACGTTTTTCATCCATAGACAAATGGTTGGTGATGTGATGATAAAGAACTAAAAACAGTGCAATGTCTAAGCGCTTGTTTTTAATTTCTAATGTTCTTCTTGTTCATGTGTGTGTCACTTTCCTCATCTATAAAAAAATGTGAGAAATCACACTCATCTTGCAGTGTGTTACTGATTGGCAATGTGACATATGGGCAAGACCAAGACTGCGTTCTGATTGTGCACCTCACCCTGTGACCCTTCCTTGGAAAGTCACTCAACATTTCTGATGCCCATTTTATTTTTTTATTTTTACTTTTTGTGATGTCCATTTTAAAAACGGGAATAGCTATACTATTGCCTCCATGACATCACTGTGAGAAATGAGATAACGTGTGAGAAGCACTTAGCACAATGCCTGGCTCTAGATGGATTCCCAGATGCTAGTTTGTCTTATAATTGAAAATGAATCCTCTCTCCAACTCCCAATGTCCTTCTTTTAAGTGCGTTAATAAATCCGTACATTTTTCGGAAGCTGTCTTTATTTGGACGCATGTGCCACTGATTTACAGGGTGCTGGTATAATGTTATAAAAAGATCAAGACCTAAAAAGAACATCCTTCCATCCTAATGGTCGGCTTCAGGAATTGTGGAGGCAGTTAGCATATGTGTCACCAAAGAAATATTTAAAAAAGATATTAGCCTCACACTGTAACAGTATATGATAATATATTCTACGTTAAAAGGGGTTGCAGTGCCCCAAAGCATGTCTGGAACAATTGAAATTAACGGATATTCTGGAGCACTCTGGAGAAGAGCACTACGGGGCCTAATCAGAAAGAAACTGCAGTTCTTAGATTCCTCAATGACAGACTAAGTACGCCCGACACAGGATTATCACACATGAACATGTGAAGATTTATCAGAGGTTAATCAGAGCATTCAGTTCTCATCTCTTTTAAGGAGCTGGTTGTGATTGCCCCGGAGAAGTCAGTACACAAAGGATACTTTGTGTGTGAATTAATGCCCAAGCTGCTTCACCTTTATCTTCATCTTCAGGATCTGAAAGGCCAGTTTCTCGTTTTACCATGAGGACTTCAGAGGTGCCCAATGCGCGCACATAGTAAATAACACATCCTCTTGGCCCCTAAGTCTCCATAATCACCCACAACAGAAATCCCTCCCCACAGGCCCATTAGCCCCTACTTGTCCCTCCTGTTACAGATAAAATTCTTTCCATTAACGAAAACTCTGGTTCTCCCTGAGTAGGTAAAAACTGGCTTCGCCTGTGTGAAACCGAATCCTTCAATATCCTGTCCAAGGATGAACATTGTCTCCTTGCTTAAAGAACCAAAGAGAACATGGATTTGGTCGTTTCCCCATCGCCCCTGTGCTACGGGCCGCCTCCACCCCACTGTCCTTGCCACCATTATGCAGTTCTCTCCAGAGTTCACCAGATCTTGTTCTTGTCACCCACCCCGAACCCATCCCCCTTCCTCACCAGGTGCAAAGTACCAGAAAAGTGCATCATGGTCATCATACAACAGATGCATCCTTATCCCCGTCACCGGTCATTAGTTGAGGGTCTTCATTTAACACTGCCCAACCTCCAGCAGCCCCTCTTGTCCCACCTTTCCCACGTGCACAACTGCGACGCGTGCTCAGAATCGAACTGTTCAATCTGTGGACAAGTATGTGCATTTCGCTATACTCTCTTCCTTTTGTGCTTAAAAGCTTTTGTTTAAAAAAAGCTTAACCTTTAACATCCTAAACAAACCTTAACCTTTAATATCCTAAACATCACCTTCTTTGATCTGTTCTCACTGCATCCTTCACCACCTTCTCTCCTGACCCGCTCCGGGTAGCACTGTGCAGTCGCTTGCGTCTGCTCCCTCTTCTCTCGGTGCCCCAGGCATCAGATGCCCTCCCGAGCATTTCTGGAACAGCATGGAGGCCACTCTGTTGTCCGATTCCAGGCCTGGGTGGCCCTCAGGACCACCTGTGTTCCTCCTGGGCTGCCAACACTGGTTCGAGTAAGGCCCAAACGAAGCTGACTGGTCATCTGTCCTTGAGCGCCCGTGGCTACTCCAGACTCTCAGCCCCCTCCCTGTGGAAACGGTCCAAACCTTTTCTGTCTTTGACATCCTCCTCAGTTGCTGGCATCACCGTCCACTTCGCAGAGAAGCCAGGGGCCACCTGAGCATCTCTTTTCTGTGGCATTACACTCAGAAATTTCCCCTTTCTTCCTCTGCTTAGCGGCGAAGGATTGTAAATGCCACCGCTTGCGCTATTAACGCCGTACTCTTTCTTACCGTGTTCCTACGACCATCTCATCTCTTTCTTCCATCGTCTCACCCTTCTATAAGTACCTTTCCGCAGTTGGCAAAAATACTCAGGTCTCAGGAATTTCAAACAACTCTCCCTTGTCTTCCACCCACAGCCTCTAGCATCCAGCTGACATTCAGAGCCTCCGCCCTCTGACCTCTTCTAAGCTGGCTTATGTCTCCACCGTCTCCACAATATCCCTCCGAAATCTCAGTTCATCTCCGGAATGCCAAGACCAGCAGCCTTTCCTCAGTCTTGACGTATCTTGCAGGTTTAGACAGCATTAAATATCCTTCCCATGAAGTCCTCTCCTCAACCCTGCACCCACGAGGCTGTGTCACCCGGGCTATCCCTTCCTGCCTCAGCTGCCGCCATGCCTGCCAGCACTGCAAGTAGGACAGGTCCTGCAGGCCCCAGTTCTCACCCCAAGAGCCTATCCCCTGGAGGCTTAGCCAGTAAGACACCAGGTCTGAGCAGCACGGGGACCTCTGTCTGCAGTCCCAGGCCTGGGGCTAACGCTTGTGTGGATACTGACCTTTGGCCTGGCTACATGCCTTTGCTTGTGGGGTCTGCCTAATTTGCATGTTTTTCTACGTGGGCCCCTAGCGGCTATTTTAGCTTCTTAATATGACTTAACATGCCCCATTTTGGAATCACAGTAAGATCTCTGGCTTGCTGGTTTCTGCCGGTGCCTTCCCCAGGGTGGACCTGGGCTCTAAGCTTCCTTGCCTCAATCCAAGAATCCTGGGATTGGGCCACCCACACGCCCAGGGGCTGTGCCCTGCTCTGCGTGCTTCAAAAAGAACCCTGATGTCACTGCTGGTGGACACTGGACCAGCTTTTGCTCTTCTTCCTAGGCCCTAGCTATCTGGACTCTTGTCGGCCCTTCTGTTCTGAACAGTCTCGTCCCTGATGGTGTTTCCCTCATCAGTTTGTGACAATAATTGGCTTTCCACAGTTTGGCTCAAGTATTTTTATTTTTCTCTATATTCTGTCATCTGAAAACCACATTTCTGTGGCTTTGACTACTGACTCTAAGCACAAAACAGATGTGAGGATGATCTTATTTTAAGAGGTATCCGCTGTGTTCCAGCCCCAGGTTGTCTGGTACTTTGTCACCTCTCACGTGGTGCTATGCAAGGCTCCATTTTCTGGCAAGAGAGAGGAAAATGGGTTTTGGGTCAAGTGCATTGCTCTCATTTCTACCAGGTGTCAACTCCCTTTCCAATCACGTGAACATTTTGCAGGCACCTCCAACTTAGTTTATTTAAAATCACATGCATAGTTTTTATCCTCTAAAACTAATCCCTTCTCTCCTTCCTTCATCGGTTATTGGGTACACCACTGCCGTAAGTCCTTAGACTCACACCTTAGCATCAACTTTGAACCGGCCTGTTTCTGTCGGCTGTGCGCGTGCGCAGACGCAGACCGGAGCTGGAACACCTGCTGTGAGCTCGCCTGCCCTTTTTCCAGGTCTATCTTGGCCAGACTACATTAGCCTTCTCCTTCTCTTACCCTACGACTGCAGTGGTGTCTTAGCTGGCCTCTTCCTCCTTCTCTGCTTTCCTTGTATATTTACTGAGCACCAGCATCAGTGATCCAAAGACAATCTCAGCCTTTTAAGGTGCTTAGCAGGGGAAAAGTGGGCCTCTGAAAAAAAATGAGGCTGCTAGTCTGTTGGACACCTGGGCTCAGGAAGACGGAAGAGTGGGAGAGGTCAGGTCTCTCTCAGGTGCAGGGACAGAAAGGCTTCAGACAGAGAGCTAGGCTTGAGCCGAGTCTGGAGAAAAGGCCTTTCTAGAGAGGAGCATGAATCTACGTGGCGCAGAGTGAAAGCGGAGGTATGGAACTTCGTGGTGGGGCCTGTCACAGAGCTCGGCACGCCGGTGACAGAGTGCTGGAGGTGGAAGGGTGGGCGGTGGCCAGGTCATGGCTGGCCTTGAGGGTCTATTGGTGGGTTTCAGTGGATCCTGTGGGCAGGGGAGTCTCTGGCTAAGTAAAGAACAGGAGCATGACAATGACACTTATGTGCAAACAGTCACTGTGGACAAGCTCCGGGAGACCTAGAGCAGGGAGCTCAGCTGGGGTGCCATAGACACAGTCCAGTTGAGAGATAGCAGGGGCCGGAGCTGAGGACAGGAGGGCCTGGAGAAGAAGAGAGACGAGAGATGCTAAAGAGGCATCCCAGATGGACCTGAGGACTGAGGGGATACCAAGGACGAAAGAGAGCTGGCTCCGACACTTCCGATTTGGGTGCTGGAGATTCGGAGACACAACTTGTGAAGGGAACAGGAAGTTTGGGGCAAAGATCAGATCTGCTTCGAAAATGTTCAATTTGAGGTGCATATGAGACACACTCAAATGAAAGCATACGGGCAATGTGAAATACGGCCTCTAAGTTCGAGACCACTGCTATCCAATAGAACTTTCTATGATGAGGGAAATGTTCTAGAGATTTGTGCCACCCACTATGGTAGCTACTAGCAGCTACTATGTAGCGGCTGTGCACTTGAAATATGGCTAATACGGCTGAGGAACTGAAGTTTACTACACTTTAGTGATTTACGTTTCGGTAGCCACACAGGACTAGAGGCTATGGTACTGGACAGCACAGCCCTAGCGAGAGACCAGGCCATAGGCACAGACTCAGGAGTCATCAGTACACATGTAACTTCGTGCCTCCCTTGTACCAGAAAGTATTGATGGTTTACAGAACAAAGTAAGATGAAATCAGCTTCAGAAACAGATGCAAAGGGAAAATGAACGTAGAAAGGGAGATGAGAACAGAGTTGGTTTAGCATACCAAGTACTCATATGAAACCATGGCGTGACATGTGAGCCCCAAATCTTTTGAAGCACGATGAGGGCACTGGGAGGAGGAGGAAGCACCAATGTTCAGGAGGGCTCGTCAGGTGAAGACGGCCAAGGACTGAGGGTGGGAACCCAGGCGACATGTGAGGGGGGGAGGGGGGAACCAAAGAGACCGAGAAGGAGAGGCCAAAGAAGCAAGGCCAAGATGGACAGAGTGAAAGCCAACAAAGGAATGGGTTAAGAGTCTGGCTGTGAGAAGGAATGATGAATGTGAGATATGAAGACTGAATGTGGGCTGAGGAAATAGAGAGGAAGTGCGATCAGTTCTCTCAGCAACTGGGCTGTGAAGAAAATGTGAGCGAGAGTAGTCGCTGGAAGGTAGAGAACTTCACCTTCCACAGTGCACGGCTACAGTCAGGTTACCTGGCTCAGTGCCTGCAATTACCAAGGCCTGTCATCTGAGGGCCTGGGATGCATCTTCATCTCCTGTGACCTCCCTTCTCACATCCTGTGACCCACCCAAACCAGCCCAAGCACGTCACTCAATGCAAAAGCTCTGCCTCTGTTGACCAAAAGTCTGGAGTTATGAAAATCATCACAGAAGTCCAGAATTTGAAGAAGGAACCAGCCAGACCTACCACCCTATCCCTTTAAAAAAATAAATCAACAAACCTGTAATCACAGACCACAAAAGACTTGCCAAGGTCACTTAAAGATGAAGAATACTGTATTATTTATTACTCTCAGTTCAGTGCCTACAGCATACTTGCTTCCTGTCATGTTAATTCTCTAAATAGCACTGGATTGCACTCTGTGATTATCTTAAAAGCTTCCTTTATCAATTTAGAAATGAAATCTACCTTGTCTTTCAACATGCATTCCCTTCTGAATATCGAGATCAGAAGCGGCAAACTTCCTGAATCTTGACCAAGTGCCTGGCGCTAACAAAGCAGTGCCTCTCACACTCTGGTGAGTTGTTGAGGCAGGATAGGCCCTGGGCCTGTGTATTTTCACTACATTCCCAGGCTGATTCGGACACCTTCCAAACTTAGGGACCGGCGCCATGACCTCTTCTGTCATGCTCCAGGATGAGAGTCCCCATACCTCATATTTCTCAGACTATGAGGTTGGCTTCCACCCCATCCAGAGGCCTCGGCTCAACCCTCCCCTCTCACTTGAGGGGCGCGATTTAGGATAATTGGGAAACAACAATTCAGGAATCAGAATCAAAACCTCTACATCCAGAATCCCCTGTCTTTTCAGGGAGAATCTCAGTCTATAAAGAAAGCTCAAACTCTTCTGATAGCTCTACAAAGCCTGGCTGGTCGTAGAGTCCAACTGGAGAATGGGAAGCTGCTGGCTCCAGGAGCTATGAGTTTCCAGGTCATCTGAAAAGGGCCAAGTTCCATCGCTGTTAATGACATCTACTAGGAGATGCAGTCTCCTGAACACCTGCCACACAGACCTATACTTTTCCCGAGGTTTTATCAATTCCAAAACTCGAGAAAGGAAGATGAATTGCTCTTTCCACCACAGCCTTTTACACGAGATCGCGGCAAAACTCTGAGCACCCCCATACCTGTCC